CTGCTATTGTTGCTTGTGACACTGAAACTCTGACAGGGCCTGTGCAGCTGCAACAGTCTTTCCAGTTCAACCACCCACTACGTTTCTGCACCTTTAGCTTTATTTTGAGCTCGCACGGCATGTTATTAATTACATCTGAGGTGCACATCAGTGTTTTGGCTTTTAATGGCTTTAATCCAGTTATAGTGACATTGACACTGTAATTACTACATAAGAAGCTGTTGAAGGAGCTTTGTTTGCACTTTTTGCAGCAGTTTAGTACTTGTGTGCGAATAGTGCCAGTATGCTCTTGAGTTCAGTGACTTTATATTACACACGCAGTTATTAAATAATACTTTTTCTTTACTCATTTTATACATTTACATAGCATATTGGTACATTACAGTAAGGTACTATTAGTTAACATTGGTGACAACATTAAAAAGACAGTTCACCCAAAAATGAAATTGTCATCATTTACTCACCCTCAAGTTGTTCCAAACCTGTATGAGTTTCTTTCTTCTGTTGAACACAAAAGTGGATATTTTGTTGACCAAAACACTTACAATAGCCATTGACTTCCATAGTATTCCCCCCCCCATACCATTGAAGCCATTGGCTACCGTCAACTGTTTGGTTTCCAACATTCTTTGAAAAATAGCATCTTTTGTGTTTTAACAGAAGAAAGAAACTCATATATAACATAACAATGTTAACAAATATAGTTAACTAATGTTAACAAATGGAATTGTCATCAATTATATTCAAAAGTATGTGAAACATTAGCAACAGTTTATTTTAGAATTACGTCAACACAATATATTATTTGTTCATTAATGTGTTTGTCAGAGGACAAATTCATTTTCACATGCATCTCAGTATAATTATTTTATATATACAGTACACACGCTACAGTTCACAATTACTATTGTAAATTTGGATTAGGTAAGATTTTTTTTTTTTTTTACAAAATGAGTTATTACTTTTATTCAGCAAGGACACATTAAAATAATAAACTAATAATGATGAATCAACTGACAGTGATAATAAAATATCACTATTGTTTCACTTAACATAACAGACAGTTACATGTCTGTGAAATAAGAAAGCATGACTGGCAATATTATGGATTTTTTTGGCTGCCCCCTGAAAAAGAACCACTGCTTTATATAAACCTTTTGGCATTATTTTTATTTTAATTGAGACATTTAGTCAAGCTGACCATTGAATGGTCCCACAATGTAGGTGATTTCATGTTTTCTTATCATTAGGGGGACATTTGGTCCCCACCTTCCCCACACACTTATTCTCTCCCATGGTCCTCTGTGTCTGTCTGAACTCTGTAACCAGAACACATAAACATCTTCTTGCACGGACAGAGGTTCAGTCAGGACACTCTCTCAAGAACCACCGCCAGGACCTTCATTAATTCACGATGCCCGTATGAGATTCCAGATGCTGTGCAGCGTGCTCCTCACCACCGGCAACACAGCTGCTTTGCTTTACACACCATCTCCTTCACGGCTGGAGTTGCACTTACTAATGCTGATTTGTATTACCCATTGTATATCTTCTGGAGGCGACCCGAGGACCCAGAGAGGGATTCTAGCCTGCAATACAGGTCACTTTGCATGGCTGATTGCACTATGAGTGCAAGTTTTGTCTCTCTTTTTTTTTAGCTCTTTTTTATGATCCAACATGGACTGGAAAGGAAAGAACATGAGGAATCCCAGCTAGTCCCTTAGTAGCCTGTTCCAGACAATATATTCATCACTGAGCGGGAAACAGACAGCGGGATGCTTTTTTTGAGTGCCAACTCAACGTCAGTGGATGAACTTATGATACACGTTTGCACATCTGTTGACACCGAACAAGAAAACAGTTGTTGCTATGCATTATAAACAGCAACGCTTTTTAATTTTACATTGGATCACATAGACAATACATGAGATGTGTGTTTGTCTTGCTAGGTCAGATTTAAAAAAAGACATTAGCAAAAGCTGGTACTGTGATTTACATGACATCTGCAGTAGTTAAAATTTATATTTTATATTCCAGTACTACTCAAATGAGAGTGTTAACGTTTTAGCTAAGTTGTTTAAAGTTGACTAAGGTTTTAGGTACTCTCTTACTCTTCTCACATCTCAATTGTTTCTTGGCTTGCACAAACAGTTCTGGAAGTATGTGACCTGGATTCTGCTATTGGTGCAGTGCAACAGATTAGCTTTGGTAGGGGCTAATGGCTAAAGCTAACAAACACTGGCACCCTGGATCAGTTAGTGCGTTGCAAGGATGTAGAGGAAATAAGAATTTGTGGAACTGAATTCCTGTTTTCTTGGACGCGCCTTCATGAGTGTCAGATCGCCGGCTCCTGCGTCAGCAGCACCACACGCATGCCTCATGTACTTTCATGAAAGGGCGTCAAAGACTGAAATAGAATAGAAGAAATTGTTGAATGAAGCCGTTATTTTTATTTGCTCACAAAATGTATTTGTGACCACTGATGTCACATGGACTATTTTAACGATGTCCTTACTACGTTTCTGTGCCTTGAACGTGTCTGTTCTGTTGCTGTCTATGGAGGGTCAGAAAGCTCTCAGATTTCAATCTGGGAAAAAGCCCTTTGTCTTGAAGCCGTGGTCTGATCAAGGTGTATTTGTTCTGGGCGATATTTTTTTAATAATCAGGGCATAAGGCATAATGGACATTCCTACTTTCTGTATTTAAGGTTGAGAAGTGCAATTTGTGCATATGGAGTACCGCGGAACTGGAACCTGGACATTCATCCACTGATGGACTGTGTGAATTTTTCTCAGACACGTGGAGCAGTCTCATTTATTTATAACAAACTGCTTAATCGTGGCTCCGGTGCACTTTCCATCACTACAATATGGGAAAAGGAACTGGCCCCCTATAAACCTAACTGGGACTGGATATGGGAAAGTATTCCTGCGATGTCCAAGAATCCTGCCCATGAACTTATACGCTTTAAACTGATTCACAAGGCCTATGCAACTCTGTATGTGTTACACAGAATGAAGTGCTTGCCTACTCGTTTATGTACATTGTGCAATTCAGATACTGTGGGGACCTATATGCACATGTTCTTTGACTGTCCATTTATCAGTAAATTTTGGGATAAGGTTTTTCTAATGGTCTCAGAACTTTGTGATAGGTTTATTCCTAAGCATCCCAATATTTGTTTGCTGAATGATGATTCTGATCTTAATTTGAACATTTACCAATGTAGAATATTTCACACCGCACTAACTGCAGCCAAGAAGGTTATTTTTAAAATTTGGTATGAACCCACATTCCCGGCTGACAAAATGTGGCTTATAGAACTAAAAAATATTGCGCTGTTAAAGCGTTCAACAGCAAGAATTAACAGAGCTAAACCTAGAACAATTAAAAGGGTTACTCCACCCCAAAATGAAAAATTTGTCATTAATCACTTACCCCTATGTCGTTCCAAACCCGTAAAAGCTTTGTTCGTCTTCTGAACACAAATTACGATATTTTTGATGCATACTGACAGCTCTCTGACGCTCCCATAGACAGCAATGTAATTAACACGATCAACGTCCAGAAACGTAGCAAAGAGATCGGTAAAATAATCCATGTGACATCAGGGGTTCAACCGTAATTTTAAGAAGCTACGTGAATACTTTTTGTACGCAAAGAAAACAAAAATAGTGACTTTATTCAACAATTCGTCTCCTACTCGTCATCGTAGCGCCATTTTGGAGAGTATCTAATGAACGCAAACAGCGTACGTTGTTCTGTGTCAGCTGCGTCACGCAAACACACTGTTTACATCGTTTACACTTTGATTTGAACGAAAACATTTCAAATGTTTGCAGAGTGGATACTCTCCAAAATGGCGCTACGCTGACGAGTAGGAGACGAATTGTTGAATAAAGTCGTTATTTTTGTTTCTTTGCATACAAAAAGTATTCTCGTAGTATTCATCCAAAATATCTTAATTTGCATTCTGAAGACGAACGAGGCTTTTACGGGTTTGGAACGACATTAGAGATAAGTGATTAATGACAAAATGTTCATTTTGGGGTTGAGTAACCCTTTAAGGCATGGTCAGAATTTATTGAAAAACTTTCTTATATAATAACTAGATAGACTAAAATATAGTGAAAGATAAATAGTTGGTATTTCAGGTATGTATAAATGTGGCTTGTCACCCCTAGAGTTTTTTTCCCCGTCTTTTCTTTTTTCCTTCTTTCCTTTAATTCAAACCCTGGCTAGTATATAGTTCTTGTAAGCCATGTACGCTGGCTTTGTTCTACAATAAATAAACATAAAAAAAAAGAAAAGAAAAAAAAGGAAGCTCTAAGATTTAATCAAAAATAATTTGTGTTCCAAAACTGAACGAACGTTTTATGGGTTTGGAACGACATGAGGGTGAGTAATTAATGACAGAATTTGCATTTTTGGGTACTTATAAGTACCTTAGATGTACATTTTATTACTTTAAAAGTATTAATATGTACCTAACGTGTACATTTTGTTAACCTTTGAAAGGAAACTGCTCCAGTGACAGATTTGTACTTTTCTGAGAGTGATCCACAAAATCAAGGTTAAATGCAGCTCTGTATGCAGTTCTTTCAACACAGTCTTATGGAAATTCGTAACTATTTTACGTTTTGGTGAGTTAGTGGTTACCTGTAATTCGTATGAATTTCAATCTCATTTCTACATCTTCGTATGATCTGCTTACGCCCCACTGATGGTTATGTTTAGAGGTGGACCTTCATCCTTGCTTTTTTCGTGCAAATGAATACAAAATCGCCACCTCGTAAAATAGTTACGTTTTCCCATTAGATCAAGTTGGCTCTTCACGTTAAACTGAGTGAGATTGAATGAGATTACAACAGAAGCAGTCTTGAATTGACATACTGAAGTGAGGTGTTTAATAAATAAGAGCATCAACAACACAACAAAAGCTTGCTTTATGTATACTGTACATACACATACAGTATATATATATATATATATATATTCATATTTATATTTATATTCTGACCGTATAAACTATATAAATATGCCATGCAGTCCTCATAACTTAAACGACCAATAATTTACAGAGTGAGGTAGGGTAGGAGGCGACTGGGTTGCGATGTCATAGAGAGATCTGAAAAGGGGCGGAGTCTCGGATCACTGATGTTGGCAGTGCCGCTGTTGTTATTATTGACGGGTGGGAGGGGCTTATGACAGGTGGCTGCAGTGGATTGGCTGAGACAATATGTCAGTCAATGCCTCCATGAGTTGCGGCTGAGGACGCACACACAAGCGGCGTTGATTCGGATGAACCTCCAGGCGATCTGGTTTTTGTAGGACGTTAACGCCCGCACGAAGGTGTGCACGTTGGTGCAATAAGAGTTCCAGTGCTTGTTGTCGATCCCACGACAGCTAGAGGTTCCTGCTTTAACGCCGCTGACTCCTTGACCCGGCTTGGGGGCCCCGACGGGCTTCGACACTCGGCACGTGGTCTCGTAGAACATCTGCTTCTTCACGACGTTGTTGATGCGAACATGTGGCAGCACTGTGACTTCATTGCCTGCTAAGTCTGTGGCTTGGGTCAGGTTGCCGACCCAGTGCTCTTCGCTGTCGCACACCGAGTACTCGCCGCGATGCAAGAAGTCGTTGGCCTTCCGCCGGACTCGTGGGCGCCTGGGGCTCCCCGTATCATTTTCCGTAGGTACCACGTCGCTAAACAGTACGCGAGGTGAATGGTAACGGCGCTTGTTGAAGAGTTTGGGGTCCACGTTGGGGATTAGGTCGTCATAGTGCGAGTCCTGCTTGGATTGGCCGTGAGGCCTGGGTGAGTGATGCGCTGCTGCGTGCTGATTGGCTGGCCCCTGCGCCTGGGTGTGGCCTCCCATGATGAGTGCAGCCTGGACGCTGAGCAGGACCAGTGTCAACGACCTCATGGGCACTCGTCCTGCTAGCAAAGAGACATTTAAGATAGTCAACGACATGGAAATGAGCATTGGTCAAGTTTTTAGAAACAGTTTGCTTTCTGTCAGTAAGGTGGCCTGGCTGTTTAAAATGTCAGCAGGAATAAAGAACTGTTCATATGGAAGATATTACTGAGCTATGCATGAAGAATCTGACATCTGTATGAATTTCACGAAAGCTGTCGAAACATGTCCAGGGCATATTTCAACCAAAAAATCGAGAGGGAAAAACATACAAAAAAATTAGATATAGAAAATTAAGCCTCTTTTAAGTATAGTATAATAATAATATAGAAATATTATTACAATTTAAAACAATGCTTTTCTATTTGAATATATTTTAAAATGTAATTTATTTCTGTGATCAAAACTGAATTTTCAGCATCTCCAATCCTTTCATTACTCCAGTCTTCAGTGTCACATGATCCTTCAGAATCATTCTAATATAACATTTCTGATTATTATCAGTGTTGAAAACAGTTGTGCTGATTAACATTTTTGTAGAAACAATGATACATTGAATTTCAGGATTCTTTGATTAATAGAAAGTTCAAAAGAACAGCATTTATTTCAAACAGAAATTTCTGTAAGAATATAGGTGTCCGCAACACAATTTTTAAGGGGGTGTTTCAAGCTTTCGAAAATGTTTTTGAAAATTATACTATCATCATCTGCATGCTACAGAAAATGCACATTTGTGAAAACGGTGATGCCATGCTCATGCATGTTACGTGTTTAGTCTACAGGTCTGTGCTACTTGCCTGGCATTTATAATACAGCACTTTTAGTCAATTTCACTGATCGTTGAAAATGAGAATCACTTTGACAACATTGTTGTCTGTATGCAGAACTTTTAAAAAAAGCGCGAAGGAAAAGCCTTTCTGTCTTTAGTACATCTTTCATTGTGTAAATGTACTTTTTGTAATGAAGGTTGACCCCTAACCCCACCCCTAAAAACATGACCATCAGTGGGGTGTAAGCAGATCGTACAGAAACGTATGAAAGAGATTTAATGAACTCGAATTACCCACCAATTTACCAAAACATAAAATAGTTACAAATTGAGATGAGGTGTTGAAAAGTCAATACTGCCACTTTTGATCAATTTAAAGCATTGTTGCCGAATAATATTACTAATTTCTTTGTTAAAAAATGCATTTCAGACAGTGTGTGAGTGTATAGAGTATATCTCTGCTCACTGACCTGTGAAATGTTTAGAGTTGAAGTGAAGGCCCAGTGGGCTGCTAGAGCCGGAGTCCAGTGCAGGCTGACCCCCAAGCGCCTGCCATCAGGACTGGCCTGTGTGTCTGCTGCTTTCTGTAAAACACACACACACACACACACACACACACACACACACCATGGCTCTTTAGGTACAACAACATCCAAGTATATGCATTCAGCAGAATCTTCAAAGCTGCATACATAAAAATAAATAAGGTCAATGACGCGTAAACTATACATATTCCGAAGTGTTTACAGTCTAGAACAAAAGTCTGAAAAACATATTTGTCTCTCAGTATTCACATCAGAAATGCACTCTTTGCAGAGAAATATTTTTTTAACAGTAATGTTGAGTATAAACCTTTAAAGAAAAGCAATTATATATGCTTCAGTAGAAGCTAGACATTTTAGTTACTTAAATATATAAGTAAATAAAATATTTTTAAGTCTTAAAATGTAAGTGCAAAAATGCTGGTGAAGAACTACATACAGTACACTACAAAGCATCGTTAATAATATAATCAAGTAAGTCAAGACTCCATGTTGACATTTTTGTATATTGATATTTTGCAATAAACTTGAAATATACTGTTTTTATATTTATAGTCAAGGTTACAAATTATTTTTAAATCATACTATTGTAATTTGAGTTCATTTGCAATGCTAAGTCTTGTGCTGCTTAACTTTTTTGTATGCCTTATTGTACAGTAAAGTTTTTAATATTGTGAATCACCTCTGAGCTAAATGTTTTTTTTGAATTAAAAGGACAAAATACATGGAAAAAGTACTTCTGAAACCACAGAAAGGTCAGGGTTACACTCTATTTACCCATGTGCTGAGTCACTTCAGCTGCCTGCAACATTTAACCACCTAAAGTGTAATTCCATTAAACGTGTGATATTTGACACTTCATAATGAGACCTCTGCCCCATCTAAACCAGAAACTAAAAGTGTTTCATTAGAAACCATCCATCAGGCTGAGCTTTCTGAACTGATATTAAAAATGCCACATATTGAAGCGTTAATAGAGTTGGAAATAAACAAGGAATTCATTTCAAAAGAGAGCTCAGTAAGCAACAGACCTTATTATTGCATCACCAACAATAAATAACATCTAATTTTGATATGTAAACTAAATTGGATTATGATTAATATTACCTGCATGGCTTAAAAGCAAAAACATCCAAAAGCAATTTCCAAAAGCAATCCAAAGCAATTTAGTTCTAGTCCCTGCAGACATCAGCCTCTTCCATATTTACACCATGAATAAGAAACATCCGTACAAAATTTATTGTGACTAAAGAAACCAAGTAAACAGGTTGATTTAAAGTCAATATTTATGAAATAATTATTTAGAGACAGTCGCAGCACGATCCTGCTCACCCAGTGCCTATGATCACGTTTACTGTAAAATCCAGTACACTGTGAAACAGAGAGACAAGCCTGTTTCCAAACACTGCCACTCTATTTATAAGGCAAAGCAGTGAACAGGCGCAATGCCAAGTCTGTGCTGGCATAGTCTCGTAGTCTCCTTGTTTGCAAATTTATAATGTTTATTGTGCACCGATAGTGATATTGATCAAAATACATTGCACAATGTCTTTGCTCTTACGTAGCGTTCATAAAGGTTTGATGGTGGGATATTTGAAATGAAATGCAGTTTGCGCAGTTTTAAGCGTGGTCTGAAGATGCAGCCCTCAACTTTGATATTCAGAGAATAGTGAGCAGATGGTCTGCAATCTGTACGCCGTGGCTTTCAGCTGATCACGCTTTGTGTGTGATTGTATGACTGTGTGTGTACTTGTGTGAAAAAACACAAACAGGCCAAAAAAAAAAAAAAAGGCCTTAATCATTATGCTTGTTTTATCTAAGCATCCTCCAAAAATATTACATATAATATATTATAATATAATACACAAAATGTATATACACATGCATATGTAGATGTTTTATAATATATATATATTTATTATTATTTACATTAAGACTTTTCTTATGCTCACCATAAAATCTCAAATTGATAAAAAATACATTAAAAACAGTAATATTGTGAAATATTTTCACAGTTTAAAATGAAATGTTTTGAATATCTGAATATATTTTGAAATGTTATTAACAGCTGTGATCAAAGCTGAATTTTCCAGTCTTCAGTCTTCATACTTTTGTGGAAACATAAGCATAATTTGTGGACAATTTTCTCATGATTCTTTGATGAATAATGCACATTTTCCATGCATTCTATGCATTTCTCCCAGAATAAAAAGAAGAAAAAAAAAAGGTCAAAGGCGGTTTGGGTCAAAGACAAAAAGGGGTTCTATATCAAAAATCTTGTTAGACATATTTAAAACAAGAATCGTTAGATGACATTACAAGACTATTTAAGGATCACAGTGCAGCCCCAAAAACTTTATTGTCATTTTATATCTACCAGTCTTGGCCACTATCCTTCAAACCACTAGGTTTTACCCATTTGTCAGCAAGTTTTTTAATCAATTACAATATAATACAATTAAGTATGATAATGTATGCTTTTATATATTTTAATAAGTACAGGTCAGTAAGTTGTTTCATTTTTTTTTTCTTCATAAATATATGTATCTGTTACGCTGAATGATGATGGAGCATTATTTCACTCATATTTGAACATTATTCCAAAAGTTATTTGAAACATTAAGGTAGACACTTTTCTGATTGTGTGTTATGATAAATCTTCTTTCAGCATACTTTTTTTTTTTAATTTCTAAATATATCACAGATAGAAAACCACAGATAGAAAACGTGCTTTATTCCCATTCACCACTAGAGGGCAAACCTGCACTAACATTTCCTCCACACATCTGGGAGTAAAAACAGGCCTTCATTGTCACTGCAGCTCTGCACAAGACAGCAAGACATAGACTAAACTCTCAAGCAAACAATCAGGACGGAACCAGAGCTTAAAAACAATAAAGCCATGCAGCATAAGCATATACTGGCTCTCTTGCTGTGTATATGTTTGGCTGTATATGTTTTGCAGCTGAGGATCGGCTGTCAAACTGAGGCCACACCCGGTGTTTGCGTCTGGGGCCGCTCTCACACGCATGATACTGCCCAGATGCCACCTAACCTAACCTAACCTAACCTAACCTAACCTAACACTGTGCTTTCACTTACATGACTACACTGCGTATGAACGCCAGCATTTTTTTGCAGTGTTGCAATAAAATTAACAATAATATTAATATTGAAAATCTTGATTGTCAGTGTTGCAAACACCTTGTGTTGGCTGCTCTTTGTGTTTGAGAATTCATTACGAGGTTTTAAATCACACCTGGTAAGGAATATTCCAGGTTCATTAAAAGTGAAGCTCAACCAGCAGCATTTGTGGCATAATGCTGATTACCACAAAACTCATTTCCACTGGTCTATCCTTAAAAAAAAAAAAAAGGCAAAAATCTGGGTTATAGTGAGGCACTTACACTAGAAGTGAAAAAGAAGTGTATATAATTGTACTGAATGTGCACTTGTTGTGTTCATCAAATCTTAAACGTATATTTTTTTAAAAAGCTGCACTTGCAAATAATGTACTATTAATGAAATAAAAGGACCACTTAAGTGCACTTAAAGAGAGTTCACTTTCAAGTCTGTTTCTTAACACACTTTCAAAAAAGTGCACTTTGTAATGTCAAAAGTTTTACTTAAAATATATGTAAATCATTATGTTTTAATAATCTTTGGACTTTTTAAAAGAAGTACACTTATTTGGATTTTTTGACTAACATACTAAAGCACATTTGAAGTACTTGATTATCATTTTAACTGTAGTGTTATATGCTAATACATTTAATATATTTTAAAAGTACTCAATTTCGGCGTCATTAAAAATGTGTCATTACAAATATATTTAAAAAACACAATTCATACAAAAGAAATTACATTAAAGTATACTTATTGCATATTTAATACATTTTAACTATATTTCAAAGACAACATAAGCAATTATGAAATTACATGTAAAGATGTACTTAAATCCTACTTAAGTACAGTAAGTCAAAAAGCACTCTTAAGTTCAGCTAATTGCATTCAACATAACTTTAAACTATAACACTTTAATTTAATTGTAAATAACATGCAGTTAAGTACTGAAAACATTACATTTAGTTTAGTATATTATTTTCTTTTAATTCTAGTTAATGAAACCAGTTATAAATGTTACAAATAAAATATATGACCCTGGACCACAAAACCAGTCCAAAACCAATAAGGGTAAACTTTTCGAAATTGAGATTTATACATTCTCTGAAAGCTGAATAAATCAATGGAAAATCTGAAAATCTGGAATCTGAGGGTGCAACAAAATTTTACGTGAGTGCACACACACACACACACACACACACACACACACACACACACACACACACACGTGTAAAATATGTGTATTAACACCCCATAAAAATGACAAGAACGGTTTTATGGCTCAACTGATACACAGTTTAAAACAAATTTAATTATTCAATTACAAGCTTCACATTTCTGCTTTTAAATACTCCAAAGATTGGTCCATGTTGCAGTTTTACATATAGCTTAACTTGGTTTGAAACTAAAACTGCTTTAAAAGCATTGCAAATATTAACCAAGTTCTCTCATAACCTTTATGAAACATTTGGACTCTGACCTAAATTTTTGACCCCAACACACTTTAAGTAACCTGATTATAAAATGTTTTGATTCTTATTTGGAAAGCTATGGAGCTGCTGCTCTCTAGTAAAGTTCTCCATGAAGGGCCACGGCGCTCCACACCAGCACATGTGCGCCATGTATAAACACACACTCATCAAACTGATACACAGCCACTAGCTCTCTAGTCCTGCGGCGCTGAGTACACTTTGTTTTTGAATACTACATAAATTAGCTCTGAACTCCCTTTGGCGAAACCTTTATAAACACACCGCGCAGCGCAGCCACCGAGGGTCAAAAGGGTTTACTGAAGACCTCCATCCTGCGCCGCTCTCAGTGTACTTTTTCTTCACTCACAGACTTTCCTAACGTCTAACATTCATCACATGAGTGCAGATACAGGCTGGTACCTGAAACAGTCTCTGGCAGGAATTGGT